CTAAAAAAAAAAAAAAAAAAAAAAAAAAAAAAGAAAAAAAAAAACCCTTTTTTTCTTTTATTATTCTTTTCTGCAGTGTTTTAAGTTCTTTATAATGAACAAGTTATGTTTTTACAAATCACATAGGCCAAAGGTCTTGGCGCTGGTTATTTCTGTCCTTGTGGGGAATACAGACGATTAGGGACATAGATGGACCAGTGGTGAGGTGTACTATGGGTCTGTCCCTAAACTTGATATGGAATTACTTCTTATTTTATTTTTGGTGCTGGGGATAGGACCCAGGCCCTCCTACTGAGCAGTTCTTGGAACCCCTGGAAGTCCACATAGAGTTACAGAATGAGTTCTACACATTTCATGTTTTGGACTTGACGTTATTTGCCAGCAACAACACTGAGCTGTTGGGACCCACGATTCCCAGTGCTCTCCAGGTTCTGTGGGATGTGCAGGAGTGAGCATGCTGGCTTACTTCAGCCACCATCAGCCTGCAGAACTTAACCTGTGGGAGATCCCCAGAGGGCCCAGGGTCTCCCTGGCTGCTCTCAAGGGGCTCCAGAGCTGGTCCTCACTCCTTTTGATCTACCACTGCACATCCAGAACACAGACCAAGTACCATGCATGTGTAGCTCCTTGCTTCAGGCCCCTGCTGTCTAGGAGAATAAAGAAGGCGGGGCCTCACAAGGGTCTACGTCAGGATGACTTGACAACCCATATCAACATCAGGGTCCTCACAATGCCCAGGTGCCACGTGGCCTGGAAATGAGAGTGGAGGGCAAAGAAGCCAGGGACCACCCTTCCTGCAGCTGTCGGGGGTCCTCCTCAGGAGAGGGGGAGACCAAGGAACCCTCTTAGCACTCTAAGGGGGGGCATTGTATGCACACAGGAGGATCAGGGGAACTCAGGTAAATGCATCATTTTCCCACCTGTAACTACCATGTGAGTGACCATTGCCCCAGAAGAGGGCGGGAACCTGTGAGAGGAACCTGGGTGAGCAGAGGCTGCAGTCCATAGCTTACTTAGCTTAGTCCACTGCTCTCCAAGGACACATCGGCAGGGAGAGGCCAAAGCCACCTACAGGAGGGAGGAAAGGACTATGGGGAGCCTGATATTATCTCAGAGAGATGGCCTGTTATTGCAGCGGGGAGCCAGGGACAGGGATGCAGTGAGCCCAGGAGCAGACAGACAGACATGCTCTTGGAAATAAAACATACCAGTCATAAGTGCAGTAGAAGGGCTGAAAGAAGCCATGGTTTCCAGAAAGAGTACAGGGACACAGAGAAAATGAGACGGGAGACAGAAGCTCCCAAATGGCCCACTTCAGACCATCCCCAGTGGAAAATGTGTCTCCAGGCTGACTCTGTCTGCATCACGACTGGAAACAGACCCCCCACCAAACCCACATTCTTACAGAGTCTCAGTCCTGGAGGACAAAGAGTTCCAGCCAACAGAAAAGCCTACACAGAACGGCCTGAGAGCTGAAGGGTGCCATGTGTCAGTCACAGTCTGGAGGATGCACTTCCCGCCCACACCGTTAGATGCAGACAAGCTCTCAGTCAGGTGGAACCCTTTCCAACCAGGGGATCTTGGAACAGCTCTGCCCTTTGCACCCTCCCTGAGAACGCTGGAGGAAGATGTACCCCGCCAAAATGACGGTGCCCAGTAAAATGGGGAAAATCTTAACTGAGAACTGGGCCTCAGGCAGTGAAATAGTGGACAGCTGCAAACTTGGGGGTGATATGTCCCCAGGCTGAGAGGCCAGCTGGCTCTGGGAGGGACTTGGCCACCAAGTTAAGAATAGGAGACTGCTCAGTATGAATTAGCCTAAGAAAGGAGATGACAAACCATGGAATTGATCTGGGTGCTGGTTGATAGATAAGTAAGTGATGAATGTGCACACTTACCACCCACTTAGAAGGTGATGAGTGGAGGCAGAGTAGGTTGCCCGGTACAGATTAGCTGCTTGTGTGGCTTAGCCAGAGGAGCAGAGTGGAGCGCAGCGTGCTCTAGCTTCATCACCAAGGGTGAGGCAGGAAGAGCTGCTGGAAGTTCACAGAAGCAGCTCAGACAGGGCGTCCTGAGGCCAGAGCTAAATGGATTGGTGGGGAAAGGGTAGCTGCCCCTGCAGGGCCTGGGGAAATGGCAGAAAGGCTTGTTTGCATGTTTGTTTTCATATAGTCATGGAACTGGATTTGTTTGGTTGGTTAATGGGTGGATTTGTTTGTTTGATTTTGACATATTGTACATGTGTAACTCTGGTCAGTATGTTGGAAAGCAGCAGGCCTTGACCAAGGCTACCTGGAAGTATGTCCATGGTGGGAGGCTTTGGCTGATGCGATCGAGGGGTAGTACCTCAGAGGGCCAGGTGAGGGGAAGGAAGGGGTGAGGGTCTGTCTGGACCTGAGCTCAGGTACCTCGGTGGATCTTGGAGCAGCTGTCCAAGACAGTGCTGCTCTATGGGTCACAAATCCAGGTGATGAGCAGTGAATTCAAGATGCAACATGAATCTCAGCTGGAGTCCTACACCAGGCATAGGCAGGAGTGCTCAGACTTAGGCACAGAACCACAGCTAGGGCAAGAAAAAGGAAATCTAGATAAAGACATGAGGAGGGGGAAAGCTCTCTTAGGGAAAATAGCTGACATCTTCCCTGCTTGAGGCCCCATGGGTCATTGCCAGGTATACTTTGAAGGCATTTGCTGAGCCCCCTGGCCTTGCTATCTGCTGAGGGCTTTGGATTTTTCCCAGTCATGCCACACACTCCTGACCCTGGTCTTTGTGCAGAACCCAAGGGTGGCTGAAGCCAACCTGGGAGCTTGATGCCTGAGAGGGAGGAGTCGGGACGGGCTGAGGGCAGAGAAACAGGAAGTCTTTCTTCTCCTGTTCCAGGATAAAGAGCCCCGTGGGATCATCCCCTTAGAAAATCTGAGTATCCGAGAGGTGGAAGACTCCAAAAAGCCGGTGTGTATTCCTGCGACAGTGCCCAGGGCCAGAAGGGGATGGTCATAACCTGGCTTTGAAAAAGAGTGACTTGTAAAGGCGTTTTTAGACAAACACGAGAACCTAAAAAACCTAGCCATGCCTTTATCTCCACCTGTTTTGACTATCCTTCATGTTCAAGTGAAAGACGTAGCAAATAGCCTTATTTTCTTCTGTCTGTGTAGCTCTGTGTCACATAGTGACTGAAGCATCCCTCCTGACAGGTCAGCTGTGAGCGAGCGCCCATAGCTCAGTGCTGACTTTATAACGGATGCACTGTGTGGTCTGGGAGCAGCTCACCTGCAGCTCTGTACATGGCCCCTGTCTGTCAGCAGTGAAGCCAGCAGGTGTCAGGCAGGCCTGGAACACAGGTGACATCCTGCTGTGCTCTAGTATGAGCTGTTTTTTCCATTTGTGTGTATGCAGATGCACATGTATGTGGAATATGTTCACACATATGCACGTGAGGTCACCCCCAAGGGTCATTCCTCAGGACCCCTCCACCCTGTTTTCTCAGACACCGTCTCAGGCTGGGGACATGGGCTGTTGGAGAAAGTGTGAGACTGGCAAGCCCAAGAACCTGAGTTCAGTTCCTCAGAAAAGCTGGGTGTGGCAGTGTATGTCAGTAATCCTAGCACCCCTACAGTGAGGTAGGGCATGGAGAAAGGAAGATTCCAGAAGCTCATGGGCTTGCTAACCTATGTATGCTAACAGCAACACCTAGACCTGTCTCAGACAAGGTGGAAGACAAGGTTGGCACTCGAGGTTGTTCTCCGAGTCCGTACAGTGCACCTGCATTCACCCTCACAAGAAGAGCCCATGCGCAGCTACCCCCACACGCATGCACGCACACCCACAACCTCCCTCCCAACCCCCCCAAATTTGTTTATTTATTACTTATTTATTTTTGGTTTTTCAAGACTGTTGTCCTAGAGCTTGCTTTGTAGACCAGGCTGTCCTTGAACTCAGAAAAATCCACCTGCCTCTGCCTCCCGAGTGCAGGGTGTGTGCCACCAACGCCCGGCTCACACTTGGCTTTTTTTTCTTTCTTTCTTTTTTTTTTTTTTTTTTTTTTTTTTTTTTTGTTTTTTTTGAGACAGTTTCTCTGTGTAGCTTTAGAGGCTGTCCTGGAACTAGCTCTGTAGACCAGGCTGGTCTCGAACTCACAGAGATCCGCCTGCCTCTGCCTCCCGAGTGCTGGGATTAAAGGCGTGCGCCACCACCGCCCGGCCCACACTTGGCTTTTTAAATGCAGGGTCAAACGCAGGTCCCGGTGCTTCTGTGGCAAGCACTTTATCAACTGACACAGGTCCCCTGGCCTCGTTTTCTGAAGGTGCCCCCTGCCATGCATTTCTTGAGAGTAAGAACACAGGATCTTTGGGGTTATAAATAACATTTTCCTTGGTCAGCAGCATCCTGAAGTCTGACTGTGCTTTCTCATGGTCTTCCCAGAACTGCTTTGAGCTTTATATCCCTGACAACAAAGACCAGGTGATTAAGGCCTGTAAGACAGAGGCTGATGGGCGAGTGGTGGAAGGAAACCACACTGTGTACCGCATCTCTGCCCCCACCCCTGAGGAGAAGGAGGAGTGGATCAAGTGCATCAAGTAGGTGGCTCCCACGCATGGGAGATCTGGTCGCAACTTCGTGTTGCAACTTCCTCTCCTCTGCGCTTGTGTTCTTCCAGCTCTCAAAGTCTTCAGGGAGGCCTCCCAGCAGACCGTGGGATTTCTGCCTGTTAGAGCATTAGTAGGCCATGTCTCCAGCCTAGATACAAAGAGAATTCAAAGACCTAGAGTGGGGACAAGGGCCACCTACCTCCATTGTGTGTGTGTGTGTGTGTGTGTGTGTGTGTGTGTGTGTGTGTGTGTGTGTGTAGTAAATGGAGGCCTCCTTTACTTTATTGTACTTTTTCTGTCCAGTAGACCGTTCCCCCAGTTACAGATATGGAAACGAGGGCCCATAGGTTATGAGAGTGGTGATCAGGTCATAAAGCAGAGCCCCAGCCCTTCACCATGTGAGTGAGAGCACAGATGGCCTGAGTGGGGGGAGCGACCCCAAGTCCCCCCATCAATTATAGTCCCACAGTGTGAGGTTACTATGGGGACAGGACCACCCAGTGTGGCGTGTGACTGGAAATGGGCTTTGCAGAGCTCGCTGAAGATGGTGACTGTGCGCTGGGGCGGGGGATAAGTACATGAGCAAAGATGGTCGTCTGTCAGTGTTGTTCACATGAACAATGAACTCACATGAAACCCAGGAAGAGGGCCACTGAACAGCAGTCTGACTTCCCCACCCCCTCGGCAATTATTCCTTCCAATAATGCATCCGTACTCATAGTCCTGGGGACTTTGAGCATCAGGAGTTGCGAGGGTGTTTTCCTTGGGAAGCTTTCCTTGTTATCTGGGCCCTGGTGACCTGTATGGAGGGGTGAGATGAGAGAGCGTGGGGGGGTTATGTGCTTCCGGATGTAGAAGGTCAAGACACGCTCTCTCAGTAGCTGCCCTTCCTAGGGATTCCCAGCAGCCTAAACAAACTCTCGGTGCCTTGCACGTGTCCCTCTCAACACTGGGTTCCACAGAGTCCAGGCTGCAAGCAGACTCTCAGTAGTCCAGAGATGTCCACTGTCTGCTACATGCCTGACAGGTGTGGAGAGGCACGGTTTGCAGCACCAAGAACTAACAGGGCAAGGTCTCACTCAGTACCAGGGATGAAGAGGGAGTTAAACATAACCCATGACTGAGGCTCATCTGATGGCAGCCCAGGTCTTGGCACCATTTCCCAGCATATTTTATCTGGGTGTCACGGGCACTGCTGTACAAGGGCGAGCAGCCAAAGTAGAATCGCCTACACCCTGGAATGAAAGACCTCTGCCTAGCCATATCCCTTTGAGTGCTGGGTCCTTGTGGTGGTGAGGCCCAGCTAGCCCACCAGTGCTGTGGCAGGGAGCGTGCTGGGATGTGTGTGCCATTGATGCCGGGTCACTGGTGATCACCAGAACTAAGCAGAGTCACACAGACTCTGCTTCCCTAGGAGGCCCCGCACACCCTCCCTCACTGCTCTGGACAGGCAGCACAGCTGGTCCCTTTTTACTGGACCCCCCAGCAGCAGCTCTCATTGGCATGGGGCTGTTGCACAGAAACCCCCGGAAAGTCCCCTGCAGCCCATGCCAGCCTCTTGAGTGCCATTAGTGGAGTAACTTATGGCATCTACAACATGGCACTCAGGGCTACAGAGGACAGTCACTTGGTTGAGAAAACCAAATCCCCAGGCTTGGAACTTAGCTAATGAATGTACAATGATTCTACTCTCAAACATTAAGTGATGTTAGCTTAAAACAGGCAGAAGCCTTTAGGGTAACTTTGCTACATGTCCTTGTAAAGTGTGTCACCGTAAGCGACCACTTGGACAGAGTGAGGGTGGGCGTTCCTGGTGACAGCTGGCAGCCCAGGTCGGTCTGCCCCTCATGTCTCTTCTCTCCCCTTCTGTTCTCCAGAGCTGCCATCAGCAGAGACCCCTTCTACGAGATGCTTGCAGCGCGGAAAAAGAAGGTCTCCTCCACAAAGAGACACTGAGGGCGTGCCAGGGCACAGCCAGCCCATGAAGCTGTGGCCCTTTCTCCAGCCTCCCCTGGAGGGGTGCTGAGGAGAGCAGAGGGCTCTCCTGCCCGTTCCTGCCACTCCTAGAGACTCGCTTCAGCTTTTGCAGTTTTCTGAGTGGGAGAAGGGTGGACGGCGAGGGCTGGGGCTGGAGACTGCTGCTGCTCACGGGCTCTGGAGCCGCTCTCGGCATGGGCACCGCTGCTCTCAGCCGAGCTGTGCTGCACTCAGGCCTCAGCTCAGCAGGGCCGGTGGCACCGCAGAGAGCTCTCTTTACCTCACAGTGTTCCTGGCCAAGGGCCATCAGCTGTGCTCCACAAACGCCTGTGAGGATGTACTCTTACGTCTAAGGAGAAGGGGGGAAAGGAAAGAAGCCACGCACTATAAAGATTTATTTTTGTTTTTGTAAAGCAAAAGTGAACGTAGCACTGTCCCTACCCTGCTGTGCCCTGCTTGGGAAGCTTCCCCTTAGAAAGGGGTTCTGGGGCTGCGGGCACCTCAGGAGCTGCTGCCTCATGACCTGTGTGGGCAAGAGGGGCAAAAGCCAGGCTGCTGGCAGGGCCCAGCAGACACAGGGAGGCCTCCAGGGCCCCAGCAGGGCAGCAGGCAGGCAGTGTGGGCAGCTCCCGCCCAGTGCCTATGGGATGGGGTGAAGGTGGACAGCTCCATGCCTGGCCCTCGGCACCCAGGCCCACTGCGCTTTAAAGTGGAAAGTCCACGTTTTCCTAATAACCAAAACTGTGAGGAGGTCACCCCATGGTGCCAGGTGGCCGACTGTTTCATAGCTGGTCTTTCTTTCTCCTCCCCAAGAACTCCACTCCTCGTTCTAGAGGAAGGAGTAGGTTTTACCTGATCCCCTTGGGGCTTCAGCCTTTTCTGCCTCAAAAGTATCCCCAACTGGACTGTTCTGGTGCACTCTGTGGTAGCCTCCAGGAGCAGGGCCTTGCTCAGCAGGGTGCAGTGCAGTCAAGCCAGGGTGAGGTGAGGTGGCCTTTGTGTCCCCTTGCCCTCTATGGCATGGCATGCCACAGCACACGTGTGGGTTGGCCCTGGCCTCCTAACTCGGTGTGAAGGGAGCCATGAAGCGCAGCTTCTCCTGCCGTTCTCTCAGGGACTCTCAAGGGCAGCTCCTGCTCCTTGGCCAGGGCCACTGTGCCAGTCCAGGCAGAGCAGGTGGCAGGTGGTGTCTTGGCACACTCCTCCATGTGGCCAAGGCCTGGGTGGCAGAATGGTGCCTCCAGGCAGGTGGAGGAGCCATGGGCTCCCACTGGGCTGCGTGAGCTCAGCTCCTCCCATCTCAGAAGGAGGTCAGCACCTCTGGAAATAGCTTTGCAGAGAAGGGTGAGTGGGGGGCAGAACTCTGGCCTCCTTCCTGTGGATCCAGCCTCAAGTGGCCTCAGGTGCTGGAGTGTGTGAAGGTGACAGTGATGGAAGAGGGCCCAGGCTGCAACCCTGAGCCTCCTGGTAGAGAACCAGGCAGTGCTGGCCCAGGGTGTGGGGCGTCCCCTCCACACACCAGTTCTCACAGGTGTGTCCTGGGCAGACCAGCACCTGGCTCAGAATCAGTCTATTTATCAGAGGTGTAAATAATCATTACATAGTTTTCACCTTTTAGATTATTTTGTATTTGTTTAAAAAAAGATTTGTCAAAATACAAAGAAATGACTGAAAGTTGTTGACAGGGTTTTTTAAAAATATTATTATTATTCCAGTTGTTTTTTTGTTTGTTTTTGCCTTGTAAACTAGCTCCAAGGAACTGCAGCAAATAAACTCCAAATCTGCCCAAACCACTTTCATCGTCTGCTTGGCCGTGGGAGATACCTCTTGTCAAGCCTGGGGTTGGGGGGCCTGGTGCGCCTGTAGGATGGGTGTGGTCCACCCTGACTATGGTTATGATTAGAAGCACAGAAGCTGGGTAGGGATGGCATAACAAGGGGAGAACGGGCTTAACCTTTGCCCCCTCTTTTTGGGGGAAGAAACTCGACTTCAAGGCAGAGCATAAGTGTCCACATTAGCCACCTGCAGTATGGCATTGCATGTCCCTGTCACCAGGAAGTAAAAGGCTGCAAGTTCATGATCAGGGTGTCAGAAGTTCGGGTCTCTCTTTGCTTGCTTCCTTTCTCCCTCCCTCCCTCCCTCCCTCCTTCCTTTTGTTTTTTGAGATGGCATGTAGCTCAGGCTGGCCTTCAATTCCTTGTACAGCTGAAGGTGACCCTGAATTTCTGATCTTCCTGCGTCCACCTCTCTCGTGCTGGAATTACAGGTATGTACCATGCCCAGTGTGTAAAATGCTGGGGGTTTCCCCAAAGCTCCATCAACTGAACTGCATCCCAAGCACAGTGTCCCTGCTGGGGCTGTTCCTGCCCGTGCTGTTTCTTGTCTCTCAGGTCAAAGGTGGTGCGCACTTGGCACCAGAACATGTGTCCTGAGAGACAAGAAGCAGCACGGGCAGGAACAGCCCCAGCAGGGACACTGTTCTCGTCTCCCTTAATCCAGGTCTCTGCATCTAATTTCTTGACGTTTGATGACATTTACCTATCTCATCTTGGTTTTTTTTTTTTTTTTTTTTTTTTTTTTTTTTTTTTTTTACACATTTTATCAAAACGAATCTGCTGATGTGTGTGGCTCTTGCTGTTTACATGGCTGTGTCCTGTTCATAAGCTTGTTTGTAAGTCAGCACTATGCATAGAACCCCCGTCTCTGTGAGCTCCTCAGCCTGGGGCTCTGTCCCTTCATTTCTTCACTTTTAACTCTCTCAGCCCCATTAAATGGGCTGGTTCTTCTGCTTCATTCTGTGTGACTCCAAGCCCTTGAGAGCTGAGTTGCAGCATTTTCTGCTTCCTGGTTGGTCAAAATTTTTCTATTCCAAGCTCTTGTCTCCTTAAAGTAGTTGCATTAGAGTTGTTCTGCTCCCCACAGAACCCATGCATTCATTCATTCATTCATTCATTCATTCATTCAACAAACACTGCCTGTGGTCTACTAGACCAGGAAGCCAAGTGTTATGTCCATGACTTGACTCCAAAAGGCTGTTGACCGCTGAGGCCCCGGGAGCAGAAACAGAGCAATAGGACAGCACAGCCACTGTGCTGCAGGTAGGGCAGCTGGGTTGGGCAAGCATGCTTGGCGCTCCTGACTCATCTCTTCCTGGGAATATGACCCTGAGCATGACAGCCGAACTCAGTATTGGAGGTTCTCTGGGCCCAGTAGAAGGTGAATGCAAAAAGTTTTCTCACTGGGGCCCAGCTTTCTCTGGAACTAACCAGTGTTAGAAAATGCCCAGGGGAAGGCCAGGCTTGGGTCTATTTGTCTGTCCCATGCATGGTTCTGGACCTTCTGGTTAGAGTCTGTCTTGGTGAACAAGCAGTACCAGTCCTTGGGAAATGAAGTTGGTCATCCCAGCATCCATGGCTTAGCAGTCAGGCAAGCTCAGGCCAAGAGCAATCTCAGGCTGGAGCAGGGATGGGGGTAAAGGGGGGACAGACATCAAGGGAGCACTGGCCCCCTGTCTCCATCCCAGGTTGTTTCATAACTCTGGAATGTGACACAAGTCTCTCAGGTGTGCATATGTGAACTTAGCACAGTGCCAGTCATGGGTACGTCATTGTTTATTCTGTAGTTCTCTGCATCCCTGACATGTGCGTGTCTGAGTGTGTGTGCTCATACCAAAGCTTTTGTTTGGTTTGGGTTTAATATTGTTTTTGTTATTTTGAGAGGCTCACTGTGTAGCCCTCACAGCCTGGGACTCCCTATGCAAACCAGGCTGCCCTCAGACTTGAGTAGAACAGCCCCTGACTTTGACTCCCCAGTGCTGGGACAACAAGCCCGTGCTACCACACCCAGCCTCAGATCCTGTCTCATGGGCCTTTTGCTAATGAACAATCTCACTTCGAGGATCCAGAAGAGCACCGTCTCTGAGGTGAGTTGTCACTCGGAAGGAAGCCCATTGCTGAAGCACCTGAGCCTGTGGTCCATACCCAAGCCCTGCCTGGTCAGTGGCAGTTGGCTAAAGACTGAGGTACCCTAGTAACTAGACACATTCACCCCCGGAAGTAAGGACAGGGCACCTCCAGGCTTTCACATCCGTGAGTGGGAACATGGGTGACAGTGATGGAGGCAACGGTGTTGACAGAAAGCTATCCCAACACTGTAAGCAGACAGCCTTGGGTATAGAGTGAGAGAGGGAAAGGGTGACATGGGATGCCAGGTGGATGCCCTGTGGGAAGGCATCTGAGGAAAGAGACATTAGGAAGGACTAGGTGGTGACACACAGGGACCTGCAGGGCGTGGCTCTTCCCAAGGTCTTACGAGGGTATAACCATTGGCCATATTACCCCCTAGTGTGGCAGCTCCAGGACATAGATCACACATGCATGTAGAGGAGGGGCTGGGCCAAAGAGAAGGCCGGCCTCCATGAATGGGTTGATTTTACCACCTACCGGCCAGGGCAGTCCAGAGTGGGCAGGATCGGCATGACATGACTGGCCAAGTCCCTGGGACTTCTAATGACATAGTTGGGCATGGCATGGCTGCCTGCATGCCAAGCCCTTGATGTAAATCTGCCGATCCCCCGTCTTCCCCCAGACTGCAGCTGGGTCAAGGACATTCATGCTTTCATGGACTCGGGTGTATACACAGACTGTGGGAGTACACAGATCAGACTATGGTGTACACAGACTGTGGGTTACACAGACTGGGGTACACAGACTGTGGGGTACACAGACTGTGGGGTACACAGACTGTGGGGTACACAGACTGGGGTACACAGACTGGGGGTACACAGACTGTGGGGTACACAGACTGTGGGGTACACAGACTATGGGGTACACAGAATGCGGGGTACACAGAATGCGGGGTACACAGAATGCAGGGTACAGGCACACAATATTCTTCAGTTGGTGTGCTTCTCAAATCAGCTCTTGGGCTCTAGGGCTTTGCAGGGTGCCCAAGTCATTCATCTGCCTTTATTTGTTGCTTTTGTTTGTGTCAGGCTCTCAACCATTAGCCCAGGAACTCTTGCCTGGGACTCACTGTGTAGCCCAGGTTAGCCTCAAATACACAGTCGTCTTCCTGTTCCAGCTCTTCAAGTGCTGAAATTACAGCTTGAGCTCCCATGCCCAGCTTGAGCTGTTCATATTGTAGTGACATGGAGGGTGTGTTGAGGAGCATTTAGGAGTTGAGACACTTGCCTGTGCTGGTGAGGATTTAGATGAATGGACTGTGGGAGATGCAGAAACCAGACATCTCCCGACTAGTCAGAAGATAGTCTGTTGTCAAGTCCTAACAACAAACTCCGAAGAGGTGCTGAGACACAGCGAAAGGTAGGCAAAGAATCCAAGGTTAGCCCGTCGCAGGAAGCTCGGTCAGTGCAATCAGGAGCTGCGTCGCAACACTAAGTGCGCCAGTCCCTGCCATTGGCTCCTTCATGGAACCAGTGACTCAACACACTCTGATGCTGCCTCAGGTTGGTCTGAGGAAGGGGGCGTTGTGTCCTTCTCCTCTGTCAGATAGGGCACAATGCATAATTGTCTGAACAGCGCAAACTGTGAGACATGCTGTCTGTTGGCCTGGCCAACACATAGGTCCAGGAAGGAAGTATCTTCCAAATGAAGAAGGAAGGTTTAAAACATTGTTTTTATTTTATGTGTATTGGTGTTTTGCCTGTAAATATGTAAACCACATGTGCCTGGTGCCCATGGAGATCAGAAGAGGGTGTTAGATCCCCTGGAACTGGAGTCACAGATGGTTGTGAGCTGCTATGTGAGTGCTAGGAATTGAACCCAGGTTCTCTGCAAGAGCAGCCAGTGCTCTGAACTGCTGGTCATCTTCCCAGCCCCAGGACTTCATTTTAAAAATAGCCATGTGTGGCAATGTGCATGTGAACTGCGCATTACTGTACAATGAAACCGACCTAAGGTCAGAGACCTGGGATGACAGGAGGTGGCTGGAGGAGAGCCTGTCATCGTGCATGCAGAGGGAGCCCAGACAAGCCAAGGCATCCTTCTGTCTCCAACCACAAGAGAATGATGGGTACCTGGCTTGACTTTCACGCTGGAGAGAGGGATGAGATTAATGGGACCAGGCACTGGACGAGTGAGGACTGTGATTCTGAGAGCAGAAGAGCCTGGAGCTGATGGAGCCCAGCTCCCTGCAGGGGGGCATTTTTGTGCCCCTGTTTGGAAGGTGATACCTGAGAAGAGGGGTGTTCTGACAGGCTGAGATGGGAGCACTCTGGTGTCTTGGCCTATTAAATCTGGGTCACAGGGGAAAGGATATGGTCTGGAAGTCTGCAAGGATGCTTGCTGTAGGTCTTTGTTTGAGGTCTGAGCTATGAGGTATGCAGGGGTTAGCAGAGGCGTCTGGGGTCCCAGACAGCAAGTGTGATGCTGGAGGTGTAGACACACCAGAGAAAGCAGGCTGCCCAGCTGTCCAACTGTCTGTCAAGACCCAAGGGTGTGACATGCTTTACATCAGGTGTGTCCCCAGGTATCTCCTGTCTCAGGAGAACATCTTCCTAAGACCATGTTCAAACCCAAAGTAAAGCTCCCTAATAAAGAAGAGAGGAAACCCAATGAGATCACATCTTAGCTCCTCACACAAAAACAGCCCAGCCCAGAACGCCTCCATGTTGTCCACGCTGCCCAACACATCGGAAACAACTAGGCATGCACAGAGCTAGGACCATACAATTGAAAGACAAGAAAAACAGCAAACAAAAGCAGATCCCCATGGTAATCTAATGAGATCTGTTGTCACTCAGTACCCAATAAAGTCACTGAGGGAATCCAGT